CGGCAGAGCAGTTAAAAGTTACATTGGAACCAAAAAAGGAAGTTTGGTTCACCGGATCCTCAACAATCCTCGCCCAGTTGTCTGAAAGCGAAGGTGAATAACTTTTACCATTGTAGGTGGGCGAAGACACGAGACTCAAAAGGAGTATGGGAGAAGAGTGAAAAATGTAAATAGCTGATGAGAGTATTTATAGGATACTGCTACCCATTACAATCCGACAAATATTTTTTTCCCGTGCGCGACTGGTCAAAACGCATCACGTGATTGAGTATTCCCTAACTAAAACCTTACGTCCAATGAGGAAAATTCTGCGCTTGCGCTTATCTTCTCCGCTTGCAATCCATTTTATTTATACTTCCTTATTCTTGTTATCTGGGTTACTTTGTCACTACTTAGGCTTGTCATTCTAACTAGAGGCAGGTTTTCACTAGCGACGAAGTTGGAGTCGTGAGAAATTGAATTAGGTTCAGGATGGTAGAAATCATTCGGGAAAGGCTTAGAGAAGAAGCAAAATAACTTAACTTAACTTTCAGTCCAATTTCTATCATAAATCTATGCAAATCGTTCCGTGTGATGAGAAGCAAATAAAAGTAACAAAACGCTTTGGAACAGCTGATGAGATAACGCGTAAGTTCCCGAAGCAGTGGGTCACCCTGTGTTGCTATTCAGGCTACTGTTGTTTCGAAAATTGCTTTTAGTGCGGGTCCGAAACGACTCAACAGACTGGATACGAATAGGCTTGGCCAGGTACGAAAAGTCTGGTTACGAAATGATCGTGGGTACGAAACGAATGTTAACCGCTTTATTTTGTTTCTGAAGGAGATTACTTTTAGCTTTGTTGCCTACCTTGCCGTCTAATCTCGACAGTTTTTTGCCGGCAATATCCATCATAATCATTTTCTGCCTCACACGTGTAGTTTCCAAACTGTTCTAAAGTCAACCTCTTGAGCGGCAATGTACAGAGCACTTTTAGGCTTAATTTACTGTCTTGACATTTGATTCCAACTGATCTACCACGAGAATCATCCCACTGAATATACTTGATCCTTCTCCTTGGAAATAGCTTGTCACCAGGCTTTGGCCACGCTACGCAAGTCATATTAATAGCTTCTCCTAGAGCTAGCGCACGATTTGGTGGGCTTGAGGAGATATTCATTTCAGGTATCACTGGACGGCAAAGAGAAAATTCCATCAATAAACTTGTAAAAGAAACCTTGATTTGTTCAGTGAAGATGCAGCCTTAAGTTAGAAATAACAATTTAATGAGGTCCAGTTGCTACTAACCAGTCCAGCGGTTACATTTCTTTGTCATTTCTGCGGGTGAAAGGTTGGTTAGAGCACTGGTAACAAACAATAGCAACAAACAGTTGCCAGCATCTCCAAGCCGATGTGTGTTCAGCATTCTGGTCATTGGATGTGCCTTCAGTCCCTCATACAAATGGTGCCTAAATTTAAAATCGTCTATTTAAGAGACGTTTCGAAGTGATGGTAGGGAATGATGAGTTAAGATTAGCCTGGCTGGAAGTGATGGCAATCTAAAGAACTAAAACTATGAAGGCTAAAAACTAAAGACAAATAAAAAATTTATGAAAGAAATATCTGTACAACTCCATGGCCTTGTATAGAGTAATTCAGGCGAAAAAGAGGAAAGCTTTATTCAATAAATATGCATATATTATTTTAAGTAATTCGATAGAGTCGTATAGGAAATCAACCAAAGAAGTATAGTGATTTGCCCTGAAATGTTTTGTTTTATAAACCACAATTTCACATACAAGTTTTAATGAAAAGAAAAAAAAATTGGTGTAAATTAGGAGTTAGACAAAGCTTCACCATTTCTTTGGCACAAAACGTTTGCAAGATAAAAGACCTCAAATACCTTTACAAACTGGGACTGCTAAATGCACCGAATCACTTTAATGTACTTTGTAACTCGGTATTTGTGGCCTACGCCTGTTTCCTATTACCGCGTAAGTCGAAGTACCTCTTCAAAATCAAAAGGGGCAGAGACTGACGGAAAACGTTTGATCTCCTCGTCTGCAAATGATGAATTGTACCAAGGTAATTGGTAAAGTTATTTTCAACTTCTAGGAAAATTATCCGAAGTGCTCTAATAGTCAGAATAATATGTGAGGCGGAAATATCATTATTGATATACTAATTATTTTCATCAATATTATCATAATATTTAATATTAATATTAATATTATCATCATGTTGTTTTTGAAGCTCGAAGTAATGGGATATGAAGTAATTTTAATGAGACTTAAAGACGCTATGATAGTGGTAACCAATTTTACTTTTAAACAAGAGAAATAATCCCGTTATTTTTTCTTGTACTTACTCACTACTGAAAGCTAAAAAGTATACAAGAAAAAGGTCTTGTATACAAGTAAAAGATCTTGTTTCAAAAAACCAATATTTTTTGACCGAACAAATGCAGTGAACTTCAACGACAACCCCGTGAATAACTAGTAGTCTTTTGCAAAACGTCATATCATATTACCCTGGCAAGCAATCCTCACGAAACTTTTCAAAAATGTAAATTCAAGGTGCGTATGAAGCCTCATGAAAACAACAGGTGAGAATTTGCCGTGAAAGAAGATCGAAGATAAAAATTTAAACGAAGAGGCAAACTTTAATCACTCGCCTTTTGAATTTTAATGTACTGTTGTGTTGTCGTTGTCGTGATATCAAAGTGATTTCCACTATTTCCCCCCTGGAAAATTTACGTGGGTCCTGCAGAAGCTCAATATGTTATTCATTGGAAAAAAATGTTCTGTTTTTCACAAATTACTAGCATTCAAATTTCTGTATCTCCTTGAGACTTTTGCATTAAAAGACGACTTTGGTCAGTTCTCGCAAGAATAAAGTATTGACTGATCACAAAAACGTGGTAAAAATAATGGTAAAAGCCAGGATAAGGAAAAGGAATATTCAACCCACCTGAAGTCGGCCGCTTATCATAGCAGACACGAAAAACTAAATATGATAATATGCAACTTTCTGACTTAAGAATGAATGTTAAAGGAAACAGATGTTTTTTTTTACTTCACATGTCATAATTCAAGTCTTTTTTGTTCAAAAAACATACCCGATCAATGTATTTTATCCTACGTGACGATGAGATCATGTTAAGAGACCCACAGGGCCTCCATTTCGGACTGTTAAACATTTAAGAGTGTGTTCAAAGGATACCGTAGTTCGGGTGGGTTATAACCGCAATAGAAGTTTTTCCATAATCGCTACCAAAGTTTAAAATCATCGAAAAGAATGATGATCTCGCTGTACGAAAGAAATTGGTTTTCGCTATAAATCCACCCAGAGACCGGAATTGGAACTCAAATCGTCTGTAAAGCCTTCAATGGTTGTGTTAAAGTATTTGCTCTCTGTCATAAAAATTGTCAATTTTCCTTTCTCTCACTCTATCTTTGAGTCAATAAATTAATAGCAGGTTGCAATTTTACCAAATAAGATGCACCCGTTTTGAAGCTGGATTTATTAGTTTCTTTTTTATCTTTCAGTTTGACAGTTTCATATTTTAATTTTTTTTTGGGAGAGGGGGTGGAAATATAAGGAGTTCCTATCCTAATGACGTATAATTCTATCTTAGAATTTTGTCTCTCGACTTTCTCAGCTTCGCATGGGACAAATTGATTAATTTCACTAAGCCAAGGTCAAAAAAATTTGGAAGTTTTTCATATTTTTCTTTGTCATTTTTAGTTGGCATTGATCCCAATACTTAGTTGTAGACTCCAACCAAGAGATGATTTTAAGAGAGAAAATTTATTCCTCGTTCACAATCAAACGAGTAAATTGAATGCATCTGATTATGTAGAAGGTGATGATGAAAGCGATGGTTCGACTCAAAGGAAAAATTACTACTATACTTATAATAGATCTAAGAAAATTGACAAACAAATCGAAAACGAAAAAAAGGACCAACAACTTACAGATATTTTCTCCTATTGATGTGAACGGCCGAGTGAAATAACCGATGATTTAGAACAAGCAAAAGGAGGATTAGTCGGGTATCCCATTAGCCCTTGCGCGTTATTATCGATGAGAAGATGTCACGTTGCATCGAATTCGAGTGCCCGCGCTAGAAAGTCGAATGAATTTTAAACGGCTGTTTGTCTTTATTCAGAAGCACGTAAGGTGATTTGAACGGTTTTATGTATTCTTGTATCAGTTAAGTTGACTTTGGTACTTAAGTACTTGAACTTGCTCTTCTCTAAATGGAAAAAAAAAA